TGATACAACAGATATATGCAATCTTTGTGAGAAACACTATACACAGCTCTTGGTAGTGTTTATTTTATGCCAAACTTTTTGTTTTATATATTCTCCAGGAAGTATTCTTGGCCACTTCCTTCATTAATGCAGACAGTATTGTAGATATCATTTAACACAGTATCTTCTTGTAATTTTCATTGAATATTATTTCGTTGTTGCCTTATTATCATAAGTTACTGTTTATTTCATATCTTGTAATTTTTTATTTTAGAATTTAGAGTATGTGAATGTGTCATGAATTCCACTTGCACTCTATTGGGCAGGTTCCTAAATAACTCCAGTCATTCTTAATCTGATTACGTTGTCTTGTATCATTTAATGAGATTTCCAGTTCAGTATCATCAAGAACCTTGCCTTTGACATAAGCTGCTGGAGCTCTGCTCATTTCTGCCTTTATGAGTAGAACAATCCTACTAAATGTCATCAGGTTCAAGAACCTCCTGTCTTCCCAGAAACACTCACCAGAAGGAACAAAAGGAAGTATAACCCAATCCTAAACAATGCGAAGTCAGAGAACAGAGGTTTGTTTGATTCAAATTTCATCTGAAAGAAATGTCACACAATGCAAAGTAGCAGAGGATTACAAAGTGAATGCGTCCTGGAAATCAGCAAACTGAATTCTGATAAATGTGACTAGATCAGATATTGCTAAACAACACTGTAAGTAGTGTTCTTCTTTGTGTGGATAGATAGAAAAGCTAAGATTAAGCAGCAAAGTCTTGTTCATGACTAGGGAGATTTAACATTGCTTTCCTTTTTATCCAGTGATAATCTTTGTCTTTATCCTTAGACCTTCACTCTTCATTTAAAAGTTTAAAGTAACAAACTCCATCCAGACAAAGCTTGGTTAGTTGGTATGGGGAAACGTTTAAAAATTGTAGCAAGAGTGAGAAACACAAACATAAGAGATGTCTGCTATTTGGTAATTACAAAATGTCAATTAGCCCTGCAGACCAGCATTGGAATGCTGCTTTATGAGAGCTCAATATATATAGGATAAACACATGATTTACTGAGTATCTAAATTGCTGAAACATGGACCATTTCATTGTTCCCATAATGACAAACAAACAAATGTTTCTTGACCCCATTCTCCAACTTCCTCCTCCAATAAATCTGAAAAACTGAAAAGGAGTCATCAGAACTGGAGTTAGAGATTTTCTTTCCTTGCTCTGCCAAAGGCAGCAGGAGCCCACCTGTACAAACAGTAAGTGTGTTCATTGGATTGCAGCAGCGTTTCCTGAGAAACATTGGCGTGAGATTCCTGAGACAAATATACCTTCGGATGGATGTTTTGGTAGGATTTCAGTAGTCACTGTGCACTTTTTTTTCCTTTACATTTCCTGGCCAGAAAATGAGAAATCCTAGAGGTGAGAGTATTAGCACCTTGAAGAAGAAAGCTTAGGAGAAAGGGATTTGTTGGCTTCATACCTTCCTGTACTGAAATATTTTTTCTGGCAAGTTGAATTGCCTTAACTCTACAAGCCAATCTAAAATACATCACTCATCCTCTTTGCTTTTCAGTTGCTGAGTTCATTCGTGTGTGAATTACAGTAATTTTTTTAATACTTACTCTTTTCATTACAACAAACAAACAAAAAGACATATTGAAAACTTTTGCTAGTGCATCTGTAAATGATAATAGGTAACTTTAATATGACCATGTGGAAGATGGAGAGTCCATGACAAAACCAGTACTTTCTTAGAAGTTGAGTGTGTCATTAACTATTATTATTTTGCAAGAGATCTTAGTTCATGTTTCTAGCTTGAACAGATTTAAACCAGCAGTCTTAAGTAAAATGAAACTAATAAAAAACTGCTGGTCTATGGAACTTCAATGGAACTTGCTTCTCTGTAATAAACAGTCAGATGGCTAAGTGTCAACTTAAGTGAGAATATTTATAAAGAAGATTATGAATGAAGATTATGGGCCTTAATGGAATTTGATGCCATGATTTAAGGTAACATTTGTTTGCATCAGTGTGTAAGATATTAGGCATATTATTCTTACCTATACATCTAGAACAAGAATGTTCATAGCTCAAGGCAGAAAGATCATGCAGGATTTAACCTCTTCTAATGCTGGATTTTTCTGGGGACTGCAGAAGACTCCAACTACTTCTGAGGATGAATAGAATGGTTTGCTAATACTGTTGAAATCTAAGAATAGTTGACATTTTTTCTTCAGCCTTACCATAGTTGTATGCATCACTTTATTGCATATTTTAAAGTAGACACAGTTCCTAAAATATGTTTTAATTTATCCACTAAAATTATATGAAGAGTGAAGTTGAATATATTTAATGAAGCATATTTGAAAAAACATCAAAAGTATAACTAAAAATTGCCTTTGTGATGAACTGATTTTATGCAGAAACTATCACTTGATATTTGAAAGAGAATTTTGACTACCTAAAAGTTGTGAGGTCTTTTCTAAATTCTTAGGTCAAAAGCAAACAGGACCACAACCCAGAATTTCATTTATACCTCCTGCCTCTCATTCCCTTCTAGCAGCATTGAGCCAATAGAATGATCTCTGCAATTGTCTTACAGCATTAAATAAAGATGTTTCACATCTTTTCTGCAAATTGTGTGTTTTGATGTCAGTTTGACCTATTTTGAGAGAAGCTATACAGACAAGCACGACCTTATCTCTTACTCAACCCATTTACTGCTTGATGGGTTACATCTCTTCTTTATAATATATAATATGCAAAGTATTTTATCCATGAAATTTTTTGAGCTTGTATTTCAGTAATACCTCACATTCTTCTTTCCTAGAATGAGCCATAGTGTTGAAATGTTAGTTTTGAACATCTTGAAAGTGCCCACATTGTTTTCAAATTTTGTAAAAAAGGATCGTTTTACCTTTCTCTGTTGACAAAGGGATGGAAATGGAAAACAATATTGTTTTCAATTTTTCCCTCTCCCTTTTGTGAGGAAACTAAGCAAAACAAAGTAAGAAAAAAAAAAAACAACCTGAAAATCAGAAAATAAAAATAAAGAAAAAAAAAAATCCAAGCAAGTACCAACAATATAGCTTAAGAAAGACTTACAGAAATCTAAGACTGATTGTGTTAATAGTTCTTCAGATAGAATTGCTGAGAATCTCCATCAATTACTTTGTCTTCACTTTTTTCAGCCTTTAATCGTATTCAGTTTCATTTGGAGGGAGATAGCCCCAGATGCCAACTCTGTTAGCCATCTCACAAACACAAAACACTTAAAACACTGTGTTGGCTGATCTAGAGGAATGAAAGTAGGGGCCTGAAGATGCCAAGCTCTGAGAAGGATTTTACACTTTGTGATAATGAAAGGACTCACCAACTGGACCAACATTCAGGTAGTACTGGGGCTGGTCAAGAAGCTCAAATTAATAACCAGCTTTAATAAATACATCTTGGAGACAACCCCAGCATTGCCTTCAGTGGAAAGAGAAATGTAGGGAGACTTTCATTTCATCATTAAAGGTTTTTGAAATCACAGTAAGCTGACTGATGGTAAGCCTGAGCTAACTGATAAGAAATCTTGGAAAAGAGGAGTCACCAGACACCTCTCCAGCTGGTGTCTGTACACAACAGGGTGTAGGAGTGTGCCACATCCTCTCCTCTACTGCATTCCCTCGTACTGAACAGATACCCATGGCAGGTACGGTGATCATAATAAAGTGGCAAAAATATCAGACATGACAAACACTCAATTAAGCAATGTGGCAAGCTACATTTTACTTTTTGCTGTTTCATTGAACTTGAAACTTTTCCAGCTGTCCACTAAGGAAAAAAAATTGCAATAGTTTTGCTTTCCATTGGGAACTTTCAAAGTCTTGGAACAGTCACAATGAAATTTCTTGCAATCTAATCCCTATTTATTTTCTTGGAAGTAGCTGGCTAACTGTGACAACAGCCCCTGCAGCAGGAGCACACAAAGAAGGGTTGTGAACCTTGGAATCCTCTAAAGGGCCTGTTCAGTTTAAGCATATTGGAAAAAATAATGTAAAGCGCCCATGTATGACTTCAAAATCATTTTGATATTTTGGCCTTAATGTATGTTATCAGAACTTGAACACAAATTCCTAAGATGTTTAGAAATAGTTACTCTTTCATCTTTGCGGAAAGTAAATCAAGTTATTAAATTCTGTTGCCATTTAAAATAAGCTTCAAGCAAGAGAAGGCTAAAGAGCAATTCCTTCAATCTCCTGATTTTTTCTGCTCTGTGAAATACAAAAAAAAAAGAAAAAAGAAAAAAGAAAAAAAAAAAAGAAGCAGCATATTCATGCATCCAGATGACAATTTATGCTGAGCTTTATTATGGATAAATATATTATCTGTGATATATGTTGACGGAGGACTTTCTACTAAGCTTTCAGTCATTTTTATTTCATTCTATTAACATGTCTGTGTGACCTTTGTGATTTTTGAGTTTCAGGGTTTTTTTTTTTTAACTTGTTGTTTTATTCCTTCAGAACTATGTCAATATTCCATTTCAGTAGGCACTTAGACCCATTGCCATTTATATAAACATGTCCTCCCAGAAAATGGATCAGCTCTTTATTGATACATTTGACTGCCTGTTATTCAGCTGCAAAGTTTAGGTAGGATAGAAAAACTTCATTGTTAATGACTTTGGTAGAGAAGATCCCAGAGGATAAGTTTGAATGAACATCATAATCTTCTGTTAGTACCAAATATTCATGTTTCACCAGCCAGGTTCAACACTTCTTAAGGCTGGAAGAGAACTTGGACTATGATTTAATTAATAACATGAAATAATGAAATACCATTATGCACAATGTACTTACACTCAAATCAATTGCATTAGATGATAGCTCAAATAACTGCCAGTATATTGAGACTTAAGTCAGACAAGCTGCAAGACTTCTATCTGTGCTATTTGTTCAGGGAAAAAAAATTCTTCTAGCCATGAATACTTTTCACATTTGGGTTCTTTTTATTTATTTACTTATTTATTTTTACAACAGCAAACTGCTCTAGATCACAGCAAAGTAAATTGATTGCAACAGTCCTGAACTGGTGCACAGACTCTTACAGTCCCCCTGGTCATATCTCAGACATTTGTAGGATAGTTTAACAATGAAGAAATCTTACAAAAATCTCAACTTCTTTGAGTCCTCCAGCTGTGTTTGTGTCTTGCCGTGTGTTAAAAGACACAAGTGCGTGCAGTCCTTCTTATTAGTGCACTGAAGCCCAGAGTCAATAGGAATTGTTTAGCTGATGCTTAATACCTGCAGCTTCCTGCCCTCTGTTCCCTCCTTCCAACCTCAGCACCCTTCCCCATTCTTATTTCTTTTTAATTTTTTTTTTTTTGCTGTGGGCCATCAGAGATGCTTGATTAGTATTTAGAAGCTGCGCCTTGAACATGTGAATTGAAAGCAGAGCCCATTAAACACAGCCTCATAAGCTCATCAAGCTGCAGAACACAACTCTGTGTGAGATTGGCATAGACGTACATCTTGTCCCACTTAATTTGTAATCACTGTAACAAAAAATTTCTTCTCATTAAAATTTTAAGATTAACAATAAAAGAACATCAAGAAAAAAGACCACGTTCAGAATGAAATCTCACTGCTGGATTTGAATATATCAGCTCCTCCAAAAACACTTCCTTCCTCTTGAAAATGAGATGGTGGGAAGAGAGGAGAAACATCAACTGCATTTAAAAACAGCCTGTTGACTGATGCCATCAGTGTAGCCAGCCTTGCAGTTAATCAGCTCTGCCCTCACCAACAGATGTCACTGCAAGCAAAAGGAATTAATTTGTAAGGTTATTGGGCTCAAGGAATGACTAAACTCTCTGAAATCCAAATGCAAAGGATCCTGTCTTTCAGAGCATATGTTCATGTCTCTTTTTCTTCTTTTTCTGCCACAAACTGAGAATTAGTAGCAGGCAGATTTGTTAAAATTTTAAATAGATAGATAGATAGATAGATAGATAAATAAATAAAAGGTGCTCAAACTGAAAGCCATGTGAAACAATTGAAATACATCAAAGCAAAATTCAGTACTCTGCTTTTAATTTCATTAATATTTTAACTGAGAAAACAAAATCTGTTCATTTCCCATGTTTCCTCAAGGCACATTCAGGAAAGCAGGCATTGCCAACCACCTGATTCTGTTGCTAAAGATGCAAAAAAAGTATTTGCATAGTAGTTACTAAGCAATTCTATACATTTTTCTGCTTACAGATATTCACGTAATGAAGCACACAAAAACAACTCGAAAAATATTAAGGCTGCAAAGTAACGGTATTAAAATTTAAGGACTCTCTCTTTTGAGGTCATTCACATACAGTTCTCATTTTCTAGCTGTGTATGCATCCTCTTCCATAACCTTTTGTTATACTATGTATCATCTGGTTGGTTTGTGTTTCTGAAGGCAGCCTTAGAGTACCTCTCCGCTCTTTTAAGATTTTGTATATATATTTTTTCCTGGGGTAGAGTTCTGCTGGGAAGAATTGCTTTGACTCTCATATCAACAGGCCAAAATCCTTCAGAATGGATGCAAATCACAACCCTCTCCTGCTTATGCTTGCACCAGTACTGTAAGCAAGGGTAATATAGATCCCAGGAGGCTTGGTGTGTATCTTCTATAACCACTTGAGAGTACTAAAATAAAGACAGTTGTGGATTTGGAGGTCTTACTCAAAGCTTTGTAGATTTAACTGCTCTGCTATGGTACAAATTCTGCTATTTCTCCTCTCAGCTTATTACCATTGTTCTTCCCTTGCCTCCCTGCAATATTGCCTCCCAGATTTCCAGTCCCTTCTTCAGTCTGCTTTCATGTTGTTCTGACTTGTAGGACTTCCTTTCTCACTCCCGTTTTTATTTTCCCACTTTACCTCCCCACTCTCTGGGAAGGAGGACTGTGAAGACTTTTCTGTTCATAATTAATCTATCCTGACTGGCAGCTGAAAGAGTTGCCAGGGGAGCTTTGCTAAGCACCCCATGCCCTGTGCAGGCACAGCTTTGCAGCAGAAATTTCTGAATTTCAGGCAAATTTAGCTGCCAACCTCTAATATATCTCTGCTGACCACCTGCAACCTGATGTTTGCAATTTGCAAAGCCTTGCAACTCAGATGACATTTAGCTTTTTTTCTTTTATTGCTTTTTTTTTTTCTTTCTTTTTTTTTTTTTTTCTTTTTTTAATTAAAAAAGATTTCAGAAAAACAGCTACAAAATGTCAGCCTTTGCTTGAAAACATGAGACTGCTACAAATTTTTATTGAAAGCAAGATAATAGTTATGGTCCGCAGGCAAAATAAGTATTTATCTCTTTTACTTGATCTGTGATTGCCTTCTTTGCATTGAAAGCTTTCAGAAGTGAGAGTCATCCATTGTGGAACACTTCAGTCCACACTTCGTAAAAATATGGTTTTATGTGGCATATAATAGATAATCTCACCACGTATGTTAACAAAAATGTGCCCCAAAGGTCATTCTTAACCCTGGGAACCAAGATGGGACTGTTCAGCAAAACAGCTGGTTTTCAGAAACCAAAGAAGCTAGGTTAGTTCCCACTGCCTTTTTGATACTTTTCAATATCTCTATATATGTTAGAAACTAAGATCACCAATAGCAAATAGTTAAGCACTTGTTTCACTCAGACAGGAATGTTTCGGTTTAATGGGAATACTTATGCATGCAGAATAGTGTGTGAAGTCCTGCACTGCATCCAGTTTTAAAAAACGTCATCCCTCACACACAGAATTCATGCATGATTTCTGCAATAATTACAAACAAATACGTTTTTACCAAATAGCTGCTTTGTATCTTGTGATATGTCGAAGTGAATCCAAGAGAAGTGTCAGCCACAATTCCACAGTCCTACATGTTTCCCAGATTGAAAATCTGTGGGAATATATATAGACATGGGTATCATTTAGTTTGCAATTATTTCCTTGCATCAGAAAATTTAAAGTAGCAATTCAGAAAAAGAAAAGCATCTTGTCATTATAGCCAACATAAATTAAAAAGCAAACAAACAAACAAACAAACAAAAAAAACATTAAGTAAAGCCTATATCCTTTTTCAGAGCATGGGTGTTTGTTATATAAAAAAGGTCTCTCTGCCCAGCACATACTGTGAGGAAGTGCAAAAAATTTAGTAGGTGGCAATCAGCAATACAAACAAATGCAAACAGTCTCGCAGTTTTCACAGCATTCATAGGAAATGATAATACATCAAAGATTGCAGCCACTTTGAAAGATCCATAAAAATATGTAAGCAGTCAGCCACCAGCAGAGCTGCAGTCGAGTATCTTCATTCTCTCATGGAGGTGGGGAAATGCTGTACTTTTTTTGAATATACTTGTTTTCCATTCAACATGGGAAATCTGGTTGCACTGATGTTTTCGAAAGTTTGAGGGCTGACGTTAGCAGTCAGAGTTGTTACACATCTTTGGCATTTGGTTTTGGAGCACATTGGATTTTTTTCCCCTCTGGGCTGACCACTGCTTCAGCGGAAATTCTCTTCCATTGCCTAGAGAGTCTCTAAACTTCATCAGGTAAAAAACTCCCTTCTATGTCTCTTCATACTCCATGCAAGAGCAAGGGAGTGAAGATGGATCTTGCCCCAGCTCAGCATTAAACCTCAATGCACTGAGAAAGAAATTAGGCACTGTGAAGAAAATCAAGACCTTTAATTTATAGCTGGGGTGGAAATGATTGCAGCTGCTCAGGGTTCAAAACAGTATCAGTAATACTAATGCTATCTAATTAACAGGCAAGGTGAAAGCAAAGAAATAAAAGATATGTTCCTGTTAGTACGCTACTATTGGAGTTCTCATATTCCAAACCTCTCTTATCGTCCCTCATTTAAACTGTCCTTCTGAGGTTGGATAGAATGAAACATTAAAGTTATAGCTTGAAGAGTCTTGGAATTAACCAAGAAAACTAATGTTCTTTTTAATTTCACATAGTTACTTTTTGTCTTATCTGGAACACATGCTAGCCATGCATATGTGGGTTTTGAAATGCTGCTTTATATACATATCATACTCTACATGCTACTAGTTTAACATTTGGGGATCATTATGTATGTGCTACTGGAAAACTTTTAAAAATTAAAGAATCTGAACTGGCGAGAAAGGTCATTTATTTCTTAGCAAACATCTGCCCCACCAAAAACTAGGTTGAATTTTCTTTCATTTTCAGTAGTAGGAAATACATTCAAATGAGTTCCTAAATCATTATTATAAAATGTTGATGGCTGAAATGATAAAGTGTGGTAATTTATTTTATTTATTTTTTTTACAAAATAACTTCTTAAAATATCAACCAGGTTTCCAACCAGAGATGGAAAGAGGAGCAATACAGGATATATTAAACTCTATTCATATGAGAGAGTTGACTTTTCTGACCTCTATGAATAGAAAAAATTGCAAATGTCCAGCTTCTTTATGTGAATTCACCATATCTAGTAACAACAGCTGTTTGCATCACTGTTTACACATACTCTATGCAGTGCAGATCCTGGAAAAAAAAAAAAAAAAGAAAAGAAAAGAAAAGAAAAAATCAATAGCCATTATCATTGTTATTTACCATCATCATAATCCATCATCTGCTGTTGTTTCACACCACATTTTCCATGCCAAGTGTGGGTGTGCATTACTGGGTTAATGAATAGCTGAAAATTACCATAGCAGGATTGCTGAATTTCTGCTGGCTGGCACAGTGAAATCCTGAGTGATTCCTTACAGAAAAATACATCACTGTGTGTTGTTGAGAGTTTCCCAATTTTGACATGTTCTTGTTGTAAAATACCAGAATAGTTAGCCTATAGGTATCATAAAGTAAAAGTTTGTATTAAAAATCATCATTTAGGAATAGAGTAATGACATATTAGGAATGACTGTATTTTTCCACTCTGATTTGTTGATTATGACAAAAATCAGTGAGACAGAAAGATTATACAAGAAAGAATCTCTTGATTAATGAAAAAAAATCAGGCCACTCTTTAGCCTTATATTAAACCTTCCTTTGCATGATTGCCATCAAGAATGTTCTGAAATAATTCTATCAGCGGTTGCCTGTAACCAGGACATAGCTCTGTACCTTGTCAACATCTTCTGTATGGAGAATTTTTCAGAGGCTTCTGAAAGCTTGCTATATCTACAGCTGCACGGAGTAGATGGAAGGGATCTCCTAAGAAACACAATAGCCATGTAATTGCTTTGTTGTTGTCTCAGTCCGTTATCTTATTCCATAAAATATTTAGGTTGCTTTTAAGTATGTGTGCTCAAAAGTAATGCCTAGAAAACAAGATTTGCATTCCCAGAGTGTTCGAAGCTATCCTAGAAATGCTTGCTCACTGGAAATTTAAGTTCATTAGGCATTGCTGGTTTCACCTCTTGGCATCCTGCTTTTTTTCCTTGGCTTCAACAATTAAACACTCAGTGTTGATTAAGCCTAGTCATGAGGAGGTTAAATACTTTCATACCACTGTTTTATATACTGTAGAGATGGATCAGAATGCCAAAAATAACAAACCAACACACTCCTTCTGGCAGGAGAGAATGTCAGTTTTTGACAAAGTTACACCTGGGCACAGCAGGGCTTTGTGTTCTGGAAATGAAATAGCTAAGCAGCAGGACCATATATCTGAAAACTTGAGGGTCTGTCACACCTTCTCCTCCTCTTAAGAAGATTCAGCTTCAGCTTCCTATTTGGGAGCTCCCTTAACATCTTTCCCTATGCCACAGCACATAGCACTGAGCTGTACAGAAAGTTCCGAGGAATAAAATATCTATGAGTGGGACAAGGCTGATGAGGAAAAAATGGTTTGGAGTGTGTGAGTGGGTTCATTCATGTGCTTTAAAGTACTTCAAGTGAATGAGGGTTGCAAGAAAGCAGCTTATTATGTTCTATACATGTGCTTGAGGTTGCAGAGAGGCTTAAATATTTTCCTAATGAAGTATTTAAATCACAGCAAAGGTAGTAAGTGGAAAGATGCAGCAAGATGCCTACCTTAACTAAACCAAGAAGAAACATTCTGAACTTTTCAAAGATATAAGTTATAGCAAAAAGACATCTATGCTATCTTGATATGGTTTTCTGTTAGTCCAGATACAAAAGTGCTTTTCAGGGAATGCTAAGAAGAAAAATAACATGTGGAGCAATAGTGCAAAAACTATTGGTTTTTTTAGTGCAAAAATTAGTGGCAGCAGTGTTTAATTTTTATTGTGCTCACATTGCAGTAAGTATAACAGTATGATATTTCTTTCACATGTAAGGCAGGCTACATTCAGGAGCATACATTGCAGTTTGGATAACATGTGCATTACAAATGTGTACTGGATTCAGAAGCAAACATCTCACTAGCACCAATGCTAACATCTCAACAGTCTTTAACTGTGATTAAAAACAAAACAAAAACAAAACACGAGAAAACACGAAATAAAATAATCGAACAAACAACAGACAAACCCACCCAAAACTCTGCATTGTTATCTTGCACAGAGACATTTTAAAACAAACTCTAAGCATTAAAATAAATTCTGATTATGTACAAAGTGGTATCTTCACCTTAATTGAGCTCCAATTTTCTTTATTGGCTGTTTATGCTCATGTTTTACCATATAGCTCTTTGAATCCACAAAAATGTAGGAGGGTCTGCTATGTCTCAATCAGAAGGCTTTGAGTGAAAGCCTTAAATATTTTTGTCAAAGATTTGTAAGCTTGGTAAAATTAACTATCTTCTTATTGGCTTAAAAATGCATAAAACTCTCTAGAATTACCATATTTACATGAAGGGATGATTTTAATGCAGCCACAGAAAAATAAACTGCAATATTAACTAAAATGATCACTAACTTTGTTCTCCCACTAACCCAAAAATGTATTTATACAGTATGTTTAATTTATCTTTTGCAGGTTATGCTGGGCATTCAGTTTACTTACCCGCGCTCATAAGGCTTGTGAGATGAATGAGAAAGGAGGCAAAGGACCATTCTGGGAGGTGAGCTACTGCAGATAAGTATTCCCACACGACAGTTTAGATACAATTGTGCAACACTTCTTTCTTTTTTCAGATAAATGGCTCATGTTTTATTGATGGACAGAGAACAGAAATTAGAAGAGGATGGCAACTTGAGAAACTCTGGTAAAGATAACTTCCCTTGCAATCAGGCAGCAAGGAAACTTTGCAGCTATCAGCAACTGAAATAACTGAGCTTCCCCCGAATGGTTTTCTTCATTCTGTCTACTGAGCTCATTTGAAACAAATATCATTTCCCTTTCAAACATACTGAAAATATTTTAACTTCAGTATGCCACTGTGTTTCTTTTCCCACAGCCATCTATGCCCTTTTTTGTCTAACTTACACACCAAGGTTAGTGAATAAGGTGTTTTCTTCATCAGTTTTTGACTGCTACTTTTATAAAATGAACCTTTTTTTTGCTTAATTTTTCATAAAAGTGAACGTAAGTTTAGGGTTCTGAGTGCTTCAGAGAAGAAAAAGAAATAATCCCTATTTCCACCCAAAAAAGAGAGTTTGCAAAAAATGCTTTATCCTCAGAGTGCAAAAGATAAAGAGAAATATCAAATCAAAAAATAACAGCGCAGTATGAGGCACATTCACACAAAATATAGGGTCAGTAGTCAACTCTCTTGTTGGAAGAAAATGCATGAGATGGATATTTCTCTAACACCTCTCTGTGTTGGATTTATGAATATTGCTTATTTTTACACAGAACTAAAGAATATTGAGATTGTAGTATGTTCTCCTTTAATATTTATAATCTGAGTTTAGGTGAAGTTAGAGAAAGAAACTCCTGTAAATAAAGTGATGAATTACACCATTAACTTACTAAATATATAAGACTTCTTTATAGAAGTTCAGTTATTAGTGAATATAAATCCTAAATCGGACCCTTTGGCTTCAGTTTCTATTTCTGATATTAAACAGCAGCAATTAAATCCATTTTTTATGTAATAGAATATTCTCCTCTGGCTCATTATATATATTTGTTATTAAAGAGATGGATGCAACAGATTTAGACTCTATGCTTGTTAATGGATGCACACTACATTCATACAGTACTTGCATAGAAGTAACACCAACTTAAAGCTGAATGAAACTTCCACACGACATGTGGCAAAATATTTATATGTTTTTTGAAAATCTGACTTTGTTTCAATGCAAATCAATTCAGTAAGTTTGTATTATGAAGGCAACTCGCAGTGAAAAGTCTTGTACCAATAGAAAACAAGGCAGGCGTGATTAAATACTGTCATTTTTAGTTCTATCCACTACCTGTTATGACAGCAGTGTTTTCTGAATTCTGTCTCTCTTATGAAAGCACAATCTAACACCAATTCTCCTAGAATAGGACAATTTATTATTCTATAATAAACACTTGTTTATCACTACAAGATATCCTTTTAGGGAAAATAAATCCTTTTAGGGAAATAAAACTACTTCTACAACTTGTGTGTTTTGGTTGTATACACACATACGAAACACTCCTTGCAACTTGTACATTATTTTGGTGGAAACAAGTCTCCGACCTTACTCACTTTTAGTGTGTGTAAAAAAGAACGAATTACAAGCTAGCTTCCCTTGGTGTTAGTTTTCAGATCCTCTGCTTTTAATGTCCTGCCATTTGTACAGACTGTGCTAGCAACAACAGCGTTTCACAAAAGCAGAAGGGAAGTGCAGATAAACAGAAAGAGAGAGTGAGCAGGCAGAGTTGCAGTTTTATTTCTTTTTTTTTTCCTCTCTAAAGAGAACAATTGCTTTCCGTCAGCTCGACAGCTCAGCTCTGCTCAGGGCACAGTCTATTCAAGAAAGCTCTGAGGCTTTAAACCTTCAGTTGCAGCTGTCACAAGCTGATGTATGTAAAAGAGATTATTAATGCCTGGCACTGAATGTCGCTGTGTCTAACTAACCTAATAGGTCATTCATACTATGAAATGTGTCATTTAGTTTCAATAGATATCTCTTTCTCCACACAAACAATCATACTGGACACGTTATACAAGTCAACAAATATGACTGTTGGTAAAACCTATCTTTCAAAAAGTATAACATTCAGCCTGCTGAAAAAGATTTAAGATCCACAAGGGTTGAAATGGAAATGGATGGGAAATATCAACCAATTAGGCAGCGGCAGATGATGGGTCTCATGTGGTAGGTTCTATAGAGATATTATTATGTGTTAAACACAGAACTGCAATCTACTGACCAATAAAGAGAGACAGAATTTATTCCTCAAACTGTCTTTAAGTTCCCAGTCTAATCTGAAGCTGTTCTGGAGGGATAGGAAAGGTGCCAATTTACTTCACTGTGAGAGTAAATGAGAAGACAGCAGGTAGAAGAGAAAATGCACCAAAGGGAGCAAAGAATCCAGTGGAAGTCACCTTATTTAGGAACAGAAAAATACATTGTGCTTTCATGTCTTTTGCTAAAGTGTCTGAAAATATTTTTTATAGAATAGCTTAGTTGAAACTCACTACGCCCCCCAAACAAGGAAGTATCAACCATTTCACAGGTGGAAGGAAGTATGACAAACAGGCCTAAAGTGGGAGATGCTGGTGTAGTTGAGGCTGACTGGCAATACTCCATAGAATTTTGTTGCAGGTGTCAGCAGAGGGGCAGTCATGACAAAAGGGCATCTGACATGGAAGTGCACATGAAACAAAGTTGTGTAAATGAAATCCTCTGTGCAAAAAAAAACACCAAACCAAACCAAACCAAACAAACAAACAAACTAAAAAGCCCAACAAACTTACTCCTTTGGCATTCATCAGTGCTTGCTGAACACTTATGGAGACCAATCCGTGGATATGAGCACAGAGTGGTGGTAGTGGTATGCTTCTGCAATGGCACAGCAACAGTGGATCACCTCTGCTAGTGCAGATTTTTATGTGGGCATAATTCAGGCTCTTGTTCATCAGTGGAAAAAATGCATGGCCAGTGATGGCAACTATGTTGAAAAATAGTATTTTGTAGATGAGAATGTGGTCTATCAAACAGCATTATTGTGTTCTTTGTATCTGCTGTAGTTTCCATGGAAATAAACAGGAGACAGTACTGTCAAAGTGCATAAATACATGAATATGGATTAGCAAAGTACAAACTTGGCAAGTTACTTCAGTGCACAAGCAAGAGCTTCATGCAAAAATGTCAGAAACAAAAGGCAATGGAAATTTTAATCAGTGTTTTCTAATAAGTTCCTTTGTAGATATCAAGCCTTAAATATTTTAATCGTTTAAGTTTACAAGACAGAAGGGATGGACACATCTCTATCTGAGGACACTTTTGTTTAGAGTCTCAAGCTCATCTTCACAATACAGGATTACTATTGCAGGGCTGACAGACTGGAAACCAGTTCTGCAAAGAAGCAGCTGGAATCCTAATAGACAACAAGCTGTCCATAATCATGAGTTGCTCCCTCATGGTAAAGTAAGAAAGCTAATAGCCTTCTGGGCTGCATAAGGCAGAGCACTGCCACAGGCTGAGGGAGATGATCTTTTTACTCTACCCAGTATCTAAAGTTCTGGGTCCAATGTGCTGGAAGACATGGATTTACTAAAGCAAATCCCACTCAAGATGAGGGATAACGAAGAGCCTAGAGCCTCTACCATGCAAAGCAGGGCAAAGATTGTTGAGACTTTTCAGCCTGGAGAATGAGATGCTCAGAGGATTACTGTCTGTCAGATGAAATGGAAGGAAGGAAGGACGCAAAGGCTCTTCTCATCTGTGTTCACAGACGAGATCAGAAGTAATAGGCAAAATTAAAACACAGCAAACTTCATCCAGGTTGGATAGGACCCTGGCAGCCTGGTCTAGTATTAAATATGGAGGTTGGCGTATCTACCAATTTAGTTCGTTATTTCCAGAGGAAAGTAATATAATGAAATGTTTATTTCTTGTAAGAGAAACTCTACTCCTCATTGGAGACTCTCCTGGATTCTTTTTAGGTTCTCAAGAAGATGGACATGAAAATTCTTTCCATATTTTTTTCAGCTTTTGCAAATAAAAAATTACTTCCCACTGTTCAAGAGTATCAGCAACCTTAGCATCTGCAAAACATTTGGCACTGTCGCATAGAAAAATAGCACTCTTCACATCCTACTAAATTATGCAGAACTTAGTGATGTAAAACAAAGACACATCTGCTTTGATTCAGATAAATTCCTACTTAAGGTTTTTAAATCCATAGTGTCCCATTTGAGTTGCCCTTTATGTGCCCAGAAATACACTTTTTTTATCCTTTTTACACTTTTTGCCATATGTGAAATATCTAATGAGGTAGATATGTTTTCATAAATTAGACTCAATCTTCTTTGTTTGCAGCACAAAGGAATAACAAAGCAACATTTTACCTACTATTTATTAGTGTATTCACTAAGGACTTGTAGAAGGAAAAGGTCCTCTAACAAAGAAGCTGAAAAATCACTCATGGTGAAAAATCTTCCCAGAATTAACAATGAACTCCTATTTTCCAGAAATAAAAAATATCAAAATCCAAATAAAAAAACTAAAAGAATTTTAACACAGTCTTTGAATATTTTCATTGGATTTACACAATAGTAAAATATAGAGAAGTCAGTCAGTTCATTTTTAAATAGAACATTCACACTCTTCTCATATTTTGTTGTCCTGCTGCATTTGTCCCTAAGGAAAAAACAAACAAACAAACAAACAAAAAAAAAAAAAACAGACCCAAAATTCTGTAAATGCACTGGTCCACTTATATGTAGAATCTTATCTGCTTCATTTTCTGCCTTTATCAACAAAGTTGGACACTGAAACTAACGAAAGTCTTCCTTTAGTTTCCACTTCAGAGCTGCATATTCCTCTGAACTAACCGAGCACTCTTAAGAAGCAGACTGAGGGAGATGTGATGTAAGAAGGCAATAGACATATGAATGGGAATTAGAAGAATCTTGCTTCTCTGTCAGTTCCCTTCAAAGTATAATATCCTAACTGCATGCAGGTTGAAAAATTAAATTATTTCCAGCTTTTGCTGATCTTTGTCTTTCCCACCTCTTGCTTTTATTTTCATTTCCAAAATTTTCCAGATGTTTCAGTTGTAAATTTTGCCATGTGGCTCAAGTTGGTAAATACCAATAAATACAATA